TCTGGCTCAGACTACGAGCTCTGGCTCACACTTAGAGCTCTGGCTCACACTTATAGCTCTGGCTCAAACTTTGAGCTAAGGCTAAGACTAAGAGCTTTGGCTCAGACTACAAGCTCTGGCTCAAACTTTGAGCTAAGGCTAAGACTAAGAGCTTTGGCTCAGACTACAAGCTCTGGCTCAGTCTTAGAGCTCTGACTCACACTACGAGCTCTGGCTCAAGCTTAGAGCTTGGCTCAGACTTAGAGCCTCGGCTCAGACTACAAGCTCTGGCTCAGACTACGAGCTCTGGCTCAGACAATGAGCTCTGGCTCACACTTAGAGCTCTGGCTCACACTTAGAGCTCTGGCTCACACTTAGAGCTCTGGCTCAGACATAGAGCTCTGGCTCAGACTACGAGCTCTGGATCAGACTATGAGCTCTGGCTCACACTACGAGCTCTGGCTCACACTACTCTCTCACTGGTACATTTTCATCTTTAAATCACTCCTTGGTCTGTTGCCTTCATACATCTCCTCCTACATGTCTCTGCGTGAGTGCAGCTACAGCGTGCGCTTTCAGGACATTATTACCTGCAGTGTTCCCTCAGTGAGGACTGAACTAGGCAAAAGGGCCTTCTCCTACTCCGCTCCTGTTTCCTGGAATATCTTACAAAAAGATTTGAAGCTCTCGACCTTGACCTCTCTAAGTGGCTTTAATAATCTGTTGGACTCCTGGGAGGGACCAATGCAGACATGTTCCTGTTTTTAGTTTTCTACTTGGACAGAGAGGAACGTTGGTTTGAGAGGAGTAAAGGAGGCCATCTTTGTGAAAAGAAATCGCCCATCATTAAACCGGGGTGGAGGCCTCTGGGTTCAACTGTCCCCCTCTTACAATGCTGTGATTGCTAGTATCACTCAGCCCTCTGTGAACAGTAAACAGCCATCAGTGTGCTAATGATCCATTGTTAGGTTGATGGGCCTTCTTGAGCATGTGATCAGCTGGTTTTGGTTGTCAGCAGCAAACTAGTTGATCCACTCTGAGAAGGTGCTATTTAAGAGACTGAGCTGAATACAGCACCTCAGACTGAGGAAGTCTCTCGGATGAGAGACGAAACGTGTCTAGATTTTTTTGCTTTGTTTTGTTTTTTGTTTTTTTGAATGTCCAGAGGACCAGATTTAACTTTTTCAGATTTTTCTACCTGGATTATTGAGCATGCATCAGGATGAGTTGAAAGGATGTTCGGTGGACGCATTCTCATCTACCTGCCAACTGTGCTTGAGTGCCTGACCACTGAGATCCTGGAACTAGCAGGAAACACGGCTCATGACAGCAGAAGGACAGGATCGTCCCTCGGCACCTACAGTTGCTGTCTGCAGTGATGAGGAGCTCGGCAGACTGCTGGAAGGAGTAGCCATCGCTCTAGGAGGAGTTCTGTCCGGCATTCGGGCGGTCTTACAGCCCGGGGGAACTGAGAGGCCAGCCGAATCTGTGTGGACGGATCGGACGGCATCTGCAGCCAGTTTCTTAGGATCCACTGTGGGATGGACCTTTACAAGAGATCCTTCCTGTCTACAGCCATCACTATCTATAACATCTCTTAATGAAATGAGAATAACGAGATACTACAACAAATAATTTCCCTTTGGGATTAACAAAGTATTTTTGAATTGAATTGAATTTGAAAACACTGTTCTACAAAATGTTTTAAGTTAATCCCTGTCATTCACACACACTGATATATTTGATAAACAAACAAGCACCAAAGGCAACATTTGTAACTTTTAACGTGATTATTAAAAATGTTTACTTCTTAAATATTTAGGTTAAAAGCACTAAAGTTTCGTGCTTCTCAATTATTTTCTGTCCCCCCCCCTCCTCCAACTCTCCGCCACGACTGTAAATAGTGTCTATAGAATTGTTATAAAAACACCGCTGCATAACATTGTGTCCTTATTAACATTAAAGAAGAAAAAAATATATAGATCAAATTACAAGGAATAATAATTTTATTAACATTGTTTTTTTTTAGTCTGTAACAGAAACAACTTAAAGTGCATCAATTTGCCTGAAAAAAGCAATCCTTTTTTAAACGGTAAACATTTTTGACCATTTGATACTGAAATTTTTTTTTTTATATAAACAATAAATAATAATAAATTCAAATTGATCAGCAACATTTTAACTCAGGAATGTTATATAAAAGACTTTGACCTACAAAACAAAAATGAATAAAACAATGTATGCTGTGTTTTTAATCAATCAATCAGGATCAATGAGCACACTCATCGATAAAACAAAAAAAAATTGTCAACATGAAAGAAGAAAGAGGGACAGGTAACCCTCTCGCTTTGAACAACAACAAAGTCCATGCTCAATAATCCAGGTATACAATCCAACATTTTTCAGTCAGGTCATGGACAGTTTTTTTTTGTGTGTGTGTGTGTTGAAACGTTTCACCTTCGATCCGGAAGGCTTCATCAGTCAAGGAAACACAACAAAACTGATTCTTCCCCCAACAGCTTACTCCAAAGTTGAACAAACCAGTTCTGCTTGTGATAAGATAGTCTCTTTGGTACGCCCCCTCCTCCATTGCCGGCCCTCTTCCTTGTTGACAGTCTTGTCCAACTGGTTGAAAACAACAAAGTCCATGCTCAATAAACCAGGTGTACAATCCTCGCGCTTTGAGTTTACTTTGTCATCTGCATGCTGTGGGTGAAAAACGTCCAGATCATCAAAAAACAGCAGCTTACCTGAGGAGGTGAATTAATTTTGTTAGCAAAGAATAGAGTCCTAACATTTATTAAACATTACTTCTGTAAATTGTGCTTTGACAAACTTATCGATAAAACTAAAACGTTTAGTCAACGCAAAAGAGGAAAGACGGGGCAGGTGTTGCTCTCGCTTGAGTTTACTCTTTGTTGCGCACGCGCTGTGAGTGACGTCCAGAGCGCATTGACATAAAAACAGCAGCGGAGGACGGAGGAGGTGACGGGCAAACATGTGCAAAGGAGGGCAAGCGCACTTTCTGTTGATGTGATATGTGGGTGTTAGCGTGAAATGAAAACTATTTTTCCCTTTGATTTTACTGTTCACGGGACTGCCTAAACAGTCGCATAATTGGACTTTTTTTATTATACACTTTAAACTATGGTACAATACGAAAGTTATCTGGCAACACGAAAAAAAGAATGTACAGGACAAAAGAACGCGCTTACTGTAATAAGGGCGGGGCTTCTTGGACAACAGAAGAACTGCTGCACGCACGAGTCAACCGCCAGAACCATAGAAGAAGAATCTGTTGACAATTAGCTTAGCGCCGTTTGTTCTCAACGTTAACTTCTGGGAAGGGGTAAGAGTATATACCACATATTTGTTCTCATGTAAATTGTTTGCAAAAAAAGTTATTTAAATTGTATTTGCTGTTTTAAGAACTAAAAGTAGCCGAAAGGCGGAAAATTATTCGAGCTGCAGCTAAATTTTCCAGATTCTTCAGAAGAGTTGGTGGGTTCTCTCTGATAAAACATTCGTCTGCTAACCTGATTTCACTTTCTCTCCGACAGATTTTTTTTATTTTTTATCTGCCTTGGAAATGTTTGCCATAGCTACTAAAAACTTCGTGGAGAATGTGGACAGTGGAGGCTTTCTGATCTCAGTGTCCAGCCTGAATGATGATATTAATCTTCTGACTGTGGTGGTGAAACGGAAACGTTTCTGGTTCTGGCAGAAGCCCAAGTATCTCCCAGCTGATTTTATCCTCAGTGACATACTGACAGGAGACACACCTTTAGAGCCAGGTACACATCAAAACCAGTGGTGGAGTCTGCATTTTTGTTCTGGGTATACTGTGATTAGAAACCAAAGTACACCAGTTACTATAATGCAATTGTTAACTTATTTTGATTTGTAAGCATAATGAACATTTAAAAATGTTTCTGATGCTTTCATTTGAACAAATGTACGACTAACTTTGTACAACAGTTGGCTTTGTATTAAAAACATGTTATAGAATTTATAAAACAGTATCAAAGCAAAATATGTTAAAGTATTAAGTAGTAAGTACAGAAGTATTAATTATACAAAAAAACAGGTGATGCGAGCCCATGTATCGCATAGACTACACCACTGATCAAACCCCTGTAAATGTGTGACTTGACCCAATCTAACTGTCTCCTTGGAGTTGGAATGTTTCATCTAATTCTTGCTCTTTTTACAGTTGTGGTGGAAAAAGACTTCCTCAAATACCAAGGGACGTTTGGTGACAGCATTCAGGGAACTGTGGATGCCAGTTTTATAAAAACCAGTGTCAGCCTGGAGGGTAAGGACACCACCAAACTTCAGTCATCCTTTGGCAGTTTGAAAAAAGAGGAAGTGGACGTGCAGAAGCTGCTGCACGACTGCAAAGACAGGTCTGGTCCCACATCTAAATCTGCTGTGATAACTTGATAAATGTGACCGTGTAAAAGTCAGCTGATGTTCAGTTAAAGATTCCTAAACGCCCGACGTGATCTTTGTTCAACCATAAAGTTTCACACAAAACAGGAGGCCTGGTTAAATATTAACAAAACATATGCTATCAAATTCATAGAGATTCTTGCTTTCTATGAATTATAGATTTAATTCATTCAACCTTTATTTAGACAGGTTAATCCCAATATATATTAATATATTAATTGATTAAAGATAGAATATTTGACAGAATGTACAGTCTGCCTAAGTGGCAGTTTTAAGTATTTCTGATGGTTTTTTTTTGTAATTTTTCATTTCAGAGTTCTGGACATGTCTCATTCTCTAATCCAGCAGACGAAAGAGAAGCACAGGCAGGTGTTTGGGATTGTGAAGGAGCGTATCGTGACCACTCAGCCGTGTTCGGTCATAGAGGAGGTGCAGCAGGGGGGGCAGTGTGGAGGGACTTTGAGCTCCTGTGGTCCAAAGACCTCCAAGGTCTGTTTGCATTAAAGTAAATATTCATGCTGATTAATGTAGTAAAATAATTTGATGGACTTATTGTTTTAACAGCACAATAATTTAGTAATTTCCAGTTTTACGGTGCATGACAGTTTAAAAAAAAAAATTCTGCACTGATTTTCACTGTTCCTATAACTAGATTAATTTCTGCACAAAACCATGAACATCGTTGTTAGTGGGAGCGGGATATTGTTTCAAGTTAAGAAGAAGTGGAATTTGTTTTGGTTATCCACACAGGAATCATGCGGGTAATTATTTAGTCACTACAACTCTTTTCTGTTTGTTTAGATTTCACTGAAGGAAAATGGAAGCTTGAATATAGACAGCAACATTACAATGGAGATTCCTATCAACTCTACAATAGCCTATGGCCTCCTAGAGCTAGAGGTCAGACAGAACGGACACTTTGGTGAGAAATTCTTTGAGTTTACAAAATAAGTTGAGTGAAGTTTTCTAACTTGACAAAGAAAAACCTAAAAAGATGTAACTGTTTTGTCTTCACAGAGCTGTGTCTGATGTCGGACACCAACGGAGGTTTTGAGGACGTGGACAGCCCTTTGGAGAAGACAGAACTGCTGGGTGTCTCAGGTGCTCCTGTGAAACATACACTTCAACAAGGTAAGTTACTGTTTTCTTCTCGGTTTTGTTCATAAGGATCAAAAACCATGTGGTTTTTGATAATTTTTGTAACTTAATCAAAAGTCTTCCAGAGATATAAGAACCCAATCTGGTTTTGTGGAGTCTTGATCGTACAATAATTCAATTCAGTTTATTTATATAGCGCCAAGTCACAGTCGCAGGGCACTGAACAGAAACATTTATATACATAAAAAGTAAGTTAACACTATCTGAGGAGCAGACTGCTTTGAGTTTGGAAAGGAAAAACTCCCTCATGAGGAAGAAACCTTTAGCAGAACCAGCCTCAGGACAAGCGGCCATCTGCTTCGACCGGCTGGGTTTGAGAGGAACAGGAAAGAGGAACAAATACTCAATGGCAGGTGGAGAATCAGGGAGACATCGCATGTTTGTAAACATGTTAAGACTTATATTAAAGATTTTTTTTATCAAAGGTCTGTGTGATTTTTGTCCATTCACTCAAATTTAGTTGTTTTTCTTTTGTTAGTTATGTAGTTAAGTTCCCTTCTCTGTTTTGCAATATTTTTGTCAGTGATATTTGTCTAATGCAGGGGTCTGCAACATATATGATCAAAAGAGCAATTTCTGCCCCTTTGTTTGCTACATAAAACGTGTTCGGAGCCACAAAACCTGCTATAACTGTGATTCTCAACTGGTGGCCCGTGGACCACTTTAGGTTTGTTGGAGGGCGTTTTTCTGGCCAGTATATCATTATAGTATGACATTATAAAACTGGAAATATCTAATGATTTTTAACATTTATTTATATTTTTACATTTTAAGACAAAATAAAATATGAGATTCTTGTAAAGAAGGAAAAAGTAATATAGTTTTTGCCCAATTTCTAAAAACTAAAACAAACTATGCAGGCCTATGTGATTTTTTTTAAATTGTAGATAAATGAAGTATCCTACTTTGAAGAAATAAAGCGTACAGTGAAAGTGAGTATGTTTTACTCCTTGTAATGTTTCTATTATTCACATATTTGCACAATAAATGGCAGGAAAACTGCTAAAACTAGCCCTTTTAGTGGTTGTTATAACAACCAATAAAATTCAGTTTTATTAGTTTTTGGTCAACGCTTGAAAGAGCCGCAGCAGAGGGACCAAAGAGCCGCATGTGGCTCCAGAGCCACAGGTTGCAGACCCCTGGTCTAATGGATAGCTAACCTCAACAATCAGTTGTGAGCTGATTCGATTTGAGGTTTTTCATTAAGGATGCGTCTTTGTGTCCATGAGAGCTGTGTCTTCAAAAAGTCAGCAGTTCATCTCAGTATTAGTGCTTTTATTTTTAAGCCTGCTGTAACTATTTTCACTTGACTGTTATAGCACAAATTGTAATTGAAGTGAATTATATGCTCTTTTTGTCTTGTTTACAAATGCTAGAGCTGGAGCAACTAAAGGACCATTTCCAGCTGCTTTCAGCTCTTCCTGCATCCACCAGGTCCTCTCTGCTTCAGCAAATCTCCAAACATATGCAGGACCCTGCAGCCATCGGTGCTCTTCAGATTGTTGTAAGTGGGACTCTGAGGTTTTGGACTTGCAGAGGCATCGTGAAACTAAACGTGCATGTTTCTCTGTGTCAGCTGGACCAGATGTATCTGGGTAAGAAACCTGGCCTGGGTGATATTGGACTGACGGAGTCTCAACAACAGAAAATTCAAGAAACTCTCAGTCTGCTGGAGCATTCTGGTCAAGCGGAGTCGATTCAGACAACACCATTCCTCACAGCACTGCATCTCATTATCAGTGCCCTGGATGGTAAGAAAAAGTTCAGCCATGGCAACTTTAAATATTCATCTCAGGAAGAACTCCATGTGTTGAAAAGAATTGAATTTTAGAGCTCCTTCTATAAGTCTATTGTCCCAAAAACTTCATTTCCTTGAGCTGTATTCTTATGGTTTGTCTGGATTCTGCTTCAGAAATGACAGAGGATTGTCTTGCTGTCGTGAGAAGCTGCAGCCTCCCTCCAACCTTACAAACCCTGGAGCGACTGGTTAGCGAAGACTGTTTTACAAGATTACCACTAAATTCAAGCACCGCACATTAATTCAGCTGTCTTTTTTCCACATCTGTTCTAGGTGCAGTGTGTGTCAGGAGCTGGAGAGATGCCTTTGAGCAGCGTTGATCTGACACAAGACCTTTATGAAATGACTGAACATCTGTTTGCATCCTTTAACGTGCACCTAAAGAGAGACAGCGACGTGGTGCGAACAGAAATTGGGCACCAGCCAGGAAGTCGACCTCTGGTTCTATGTGTCGCTATCAGAGGTCTCGCCTCACTGGCCCCCACTTGTTAAAACAGCTTTATTTTCTAGTGCTGTGGCACAATTAAGGACTTTTTAAAAGTTTATGTATGTTTGTTTTTATCATTGTGTGATTGTTTAGTCTGGAAAGACTGTAAAATATGACTTATTTGTCAATGAACACCATATGGATTCATTGATGGCTCATTTTAACCTTGTATTGTCCGTGTTTTGATTCAGTTAGAACAACTTTGAGCCGTTTGAGAGATAAAAACAAGCGTCGCGAATTGATTTTAGATTTTTTTAAAGTATTGAATCTGATTCAATAATACCCCTGCCTTTAAAAATTGCACCTTTTTGTCTAATTTTGCGTTCATGTGAGAGACATGGCACTTTAACCTGTTTTCTACACTCACTGGACACTGTGGCATTGGTTCAACAAGGCATCAGAAACATTCTTCACAGATTCTGGTCCATATTGACACGAGGGTCACACAGTTGCTGTAAATTTATCAGCTGCTCATCCTTAATGCATTTATTCCAGTCCACCACATCCCAAGGTTCTCCTTTGGATTCAAATCTGGTAATGAGTCCAGTGAAAAGATTCAACACGTTTTTCTCATCTTGTCTAATTTTGCCGAGTTGTGTTCAGATGTTTTGCACGTTTGTAACGAGCGGTTGTTTGAGCTACTGCTGCCCGTCTGTCATCTTGAATCAATTTGTCTGTTTTCTGACGTGACACTAAAGGTATTTTCTACAACTGCCACTCACTGGACATTTTCCTAAACATTCTTTGTAAATCCTAGAAATGGTCGTCTGTGAAAATCCCTAAATACTCAACCGGTCTCAATTCTACCACCTGAAAAGTCCCTTTCTTCCTCTGCTGCCTCGTAACCTCGGTTCAAAGTTGCTGCCGTGTGATTGGCTGATTAACTGTTAACAGATGTAGAGGTTAAAAGTGTTTTTTATGGATGATGCCAATGTTTTTAAATCGGCGCTTCCTTATCAGACCTTAGAACTTGTGCACTTTAGGTGGCCGGTGCTGGCCGATTTAAATCAGCCTGCCGAGAAACCAGTCCATTTCTAAACTGGTGTATTTAATACTGATGGTGAATGTATATTTAAGGTTTCAGCAGTGTTTTACTTTTTAATATTAGAATAATTTTTGTTTCCACACAACCAAGTTCCAGTTCATTTGTTTTCCTAACTTAAAAACTTGAATATAAAATGTTCCAGACTGGTTTATGATCCGGCTTCAAAAACATGTTTTTCCTGTGGTGCCAAAAAAATGAAAAATCAAGAAATCAGAGTACAGTTTTATTTTTCAGTATTCAGATTATGAACTTATTGATTTTGCTGAGTTTTATTTAAATAAAACAAAAACAACCAAGGCAAGTTATTAGAAAACACCAGTTATTTATTTAACATCTGAAAATACATCTTATCAGAAATCTCGCAAAATATACCTTTATAAGTAAATATGGACTTTATTTAGCACAGTTACGTTTTAGTATCACATCAGAAGGGATAGTTAGCTGAGATGACGTACCCTGTTCAAGAGTCCTTTTGTAACAAACAGCACCAAATCCACGGGTCTAACAAACTTTATATATCTTATGTCAAACATTTTGTCAGGTCACTACAGTATTGATTTTCTTCCTGTGCAACGTTAACCAGTGACCGGAAAGACTGATCTGTAACACTAAAATGAAATTGTGTAGAGGAAAAATAATTGAGCCTACAGTAAAAAAAAAAATTGTAATTTGACGTTTGTAGTGACAAAATGAAGCAATGGACACTTGTGCACTGTAAACACTGAGGTATCACTTTTTTTTTAAAATAGCCCTCATTTCTTTGCAGAATAAATACGACTTACCTGTCTGACGTACAGATGTGAACAGTAAACACTGCTGAACTTAAAAAAAGCTATCTGACACGAGCATCAGCATTTCCCCCCTAATCCAGTTAAATAAAACGCATTCCTTTAAAATATTGGCCAATAAATAAGTACACTTCCTGTGTGTTGAGTTGCATAGTGTGCTTAAAAGAAAAAATGGCAGTTCAGATTAAGGTGACTGATGCAACTTTGTGCGAGGCCAAGGTAACACCAGGTTGTCGTCCCGTACGTTGTGTGCGCACCACAGTGTTAGAATCTCGCTTCGTCTCCGGCCTCGGGGGTCAAACCTCAGTACACCCAGCTGACTGGAACCCACTGAGGCTCGACAAATAATCGCTCCACGGTGTCTTGCAGCTCGTCGAAGGCCTTGTCCAGATTGTCATTGACAATAGTCAAGTCAAAATAGTGGCTGTACGCCCGGCGGATCTTGGCACTCTCATCTACGGTTTTCTTTAAATCGTTCTCCTGGAACAGAACGGAGTCGCCTCGTTAAAAACGAGAGAAACGACCATTTGTGACTTACGACCAGTGATTTAAAGCAATTGGGAATGCTTAATTTTCTTACCGTAAGCAGTTTGGTTGTGAGGCCGGCATCGACCACAGCTTTGTGCATATCTCTTAGTGTGTCCAGTTCAGGAGCAGCAATAAACACCACGAACGGCATGAACTCTGCAGTCTTTAACACTTTCAGTGCCTGGGAATAAACTGGAAAGTCATCACAACAGCATGAGGAAGAAAACGGCTCTTCACACGAAAAGTGTTTTGCTCAGACTGACCTGAGGGTTAATGTCAAGAATGCACGTGCGGCTGGTTGCCACCACTTCGTGGATGGAGTCGATCTTGGTGCCGTAAAGGTTCCCGTCGTACTCGCCGTGCTCCAGGTATCGGCTCTCTTTAATGTCCTTCTCCATCTCTTCTCGTGTCACAAAACAGTAGTTTTGGCCGTCTTTTTCCTCTTCTCTGGGACGGCGGGATGTAACTAGAGCCAAAAAGTCAGTAAATTGATCCCATAGACCAATGTTTCCCAACTCTGGGCCTTGAGGAACACCATCCTGCATGTTTTACCATATTTTTTGGCCTATAAGTCACGTATTATAGGCTGAAGCGACATATTGATGGATTTTTTCCCCCCGTATTTATAAAACAATTTTTTGCTGAGATATGTTCATTTTCATTCATCCATCCATCCATCCATTATCTTTTACCCGCTTCTTCCATTTCGAGTCACAGGGGTCGCTGGTGCCCATATCCAGCAATCACTGTGCGAGGGGCGGGAGACACCCTGGACAGGTCTCCAGTCAATCACAGGGCCACATAGAGACAAACGAGACAAACAAACATTCACTCTCTCACTCACACCTAGAGACAATTTAGTTACCAATCAGCCTAACATGCATGTTTTTGGTCTGTGGGAGGAAACTGGAGTACCTGCAGAAAACCCGTACATGCACGGAGAGAACATGCAAACTCCACCCAGAAAGGCCCCCGGACTGGGATTTGAGCCGCGGACCTGCTCGCTGAGAGGCAGCAGCTCTGCCAGTTGCGCCACCGTGCTGCCCCGTTTTCATTCATTCTGACTGAAAATAAATTGAGCAGTACCACTTTCAGCCACTTGATGCAGCAGAGTAGTAATAGCTGTATGGCATGCCATTGTATCATGTAATAAGCAAACGTGGCTATGACAAATTCAAAAAAAGTTCCAGACAAAAACAACTGGACTTTATTTTATACTATACTTTCTATTTTATTGGGTTTTTTTCTTGAACTTTTTTGAATTTACCATGTCCTGGATGACTGAGAACCTTCACCAGCTATTAATGATACAATCGGCCTGCCTTAGTCTCCGCACCTTCGTTCTGCTCGCTGCTTGGAAAGTTAAAGTAAGCGTTGGTCAGCTTTAGAGAAACCTGCTCTCTGATCTGTGAAAAGAACACTGTGTTGTGTGATTTTACTGCGAGACCCTCTGGTCAAAGCCACAGACTCATTTTGTGTCAGCTCGCCATTAAAGCAGGAGTCGCCAACTAGAGGGTTGGAGGGTGAAGTGTTTCAGTGTAAAATGCTGCTCTGTTGCTTTCATTTCTTAAGTAAGACTGGAAACTGTTAACAACATATTATTTTCTTTAAAACATATGGCTAAAACTACATTTTATATATTTTGCACCGTTTTGCACTACAAGCAAGATGCCTAATACTTGATTTGTTTATTTAAAAACTCTGGACCTAGTAGTGGAATTTTCTTAATTCAAAATATATGATGGCAAAAGGACTCCCTATATTTTTTGAAAAATTCCTATCAAGTTTTATACCCAAAACATACCGCGATATATATCGTTATCGCCACCCTTCACAAAACATATATGAATTTTATGCCATATCGCACATTCCTAATGCAACGCATACGGCGAAGCGACATATTTATGGATTTTTCCACTTTATTAGACAAATATGGACTGATGCGACTTATCGGGCCGAGCGACGTGTACGGTGGAAAATACGGTAATTAAATCACTGAATCAGGTGTATTGGAGCAGGGAAACGACTAAAATATGCAGGATGGTGTTCCTCAAGGACCAGGGTTGGGAATCCCTGCCATAAACAACGTTAAGAAACAAGGTCAGAGGTTCCACCTGTCTCACACTTACAGGGGACAGTGGTTCCATATCTCAGAGGGTTCATGACGATGAGTCTGTTCTTCAGGCTCCTCCGTCCAACTCCCTGCGCTCCGATCAGAACCAGCGTTTTCCTCTGAAACGGGGGCATCCTGGCTACTTCCTCATAGATCTGCAGCTCATAACGATCAAACTCTGCTCAAGGCAATACACAAGCTGGATGAGAACGGTTTCATCACAGATGCACTTGCACCTAAAAAATGTGAGAAAATTGAAAACAATGATACACACCTGCATTTTTAGCAGTGAGGTACATCATTTTTTTCTTCTTTTTCTTTGAAGTCAGCGATCCACAGAGCATTCCTGAGACAAACACACAACGTGTCAAAACTCGGCTACTCGAGACTAAGGAAGCCTCTACAAAAGTGACTGTTGGGAAACAAAAGCTGCGCCGAGTGCCGACCTGTACCAACAACGTCCCAGTCTCTTCTCACAAAGGCTTTCCTCTTCTCCTCCAAGAACTGACTGGGTATGAGGCCGGTGGCTCCACCAACAACTTTGCGTGCCTTTGTGGAAATTATAATAGTTAAGCAAGAAATTAAACCACCATTTCACTAGAATGGACTCAGCACTGACTAACAGCTGAAGCAGTGGCCTCGTTCACATTTAGCAATACTCTGAATTAGGCCAAGTTCACACTGCAGGCAAAAGTGACTCATATTGAATTTTTTTAACGCCATTCTGAACATGACAAATCCAATTTTTTCTAATCTAACCCAGGTCAATTTAATAAGTGAGGCTAAACTGAATACTTGTTTGATGTCTTTTCAAGCGACCTCAGTCTGGACGGTCTTGTCACATTTCACCCTGACCAAACTTTTCGTCATTAAAATAGAGGCAAGCTGATCGGTACAAATATTGATTTTATTGATACAATCATTGAAGTAAAAGCTCAAAACTAGTTACAGAAGCTGCTTTGACTCTACAACAACATATGATGCCAACGTTGGTGTCGGATCCCATCGGTAATAGCGTGATGCGATCAATACTTGAATGTTTTTAATTTCAGTACGTCGCTGTTTGTTCCTGAAGGTGACAACCTGGAAATGTGGGCCGAACTGGTGCCGAAACCCGATGGGCTGCCAAATGGCCGTCGCGGGAGCATGCACGGGAGGATTTTAACAAGAATTTAACAAGATTAACACTTAACAATAATTTTGTTTGCTCGAAATTATATTAAAAGTGTGTATCAATGTAACGTCTACTTAATAAATGCACTTTAATGGTCAAATCAGCGAATTTCAAAAATAGTTTTGCTGCTGAGGTGCTGCAAAGCGGGCATGCGCAGCTGACCAGCCGCTGCATTTCTTTAAAATTTAACAAGATAACCACCTAAACAATTATTTGTTTGCTCGAAATTATAGCAAAAGGTGTGTCTTGGTCTAACATTTACTTAATAAATGCACTTTAATGGTCAAATCAGCTTCATTTTGCCGTGCCACCCAGGCACAATGCAGATGATTTGACCATTAAAGTGCATTTAGTAAGTAAAAGTTCAACTGAGACACACCTTTACTATAATGTCGAGCAAACAATTGTTTTTAGGTGGTTATCTTGTTAAATTTCAAAGAAATGCACAGCGAGTCATCCCTCTGCACCCCTGCAGCCGTGAATCAGCTTTTGAAATGCAGCTGATTTGATCGTCAAAGTCCATTTATTAAGGAAAAGTTCAACTGAGACACACCTTTACTATAATGTCGAGCAAACAATTGTTTTTAAGTGTTAATCTTGTTAAATTCTTGTTTAAGACCTCCCATGCATACTTCCCACGTCCGCCATTTGGCAGCTAATCGATTTCTAGCACAACATCGGCCCACATTTCCAGGTTGTCAGTGGTGACGAATAATGTCATACGGCGAAGCAACATACTTATGTTTTTTTCCACTTTATTAGACATATTTGGACTGATGTGACTTGTACGGCGGTGCGATGTGTACGGCGGCAAGTACAGTAATTTGTGTTTTACAGTGAAGGTTTTATAATCAATCTGCCTCAGTGGTGTAATTTTTGTTCTGATTGTTGTCATTAACTATTTCTTTCCCCGTACCATGAAATGCTTTAAATATCAAGGCAAAAATTATGAGCATCTACTTCTACATGGAGCTTCTGTCCTAAATGTAAACTGGGCCTTTAGGTTCTAGTTCGTCTCAGCTCACCTGCCACCAGTTGGGGTCCTCCTTGTTGACAACATGGAGTACGTCTCCTTTGGAAAAGGCCAGTCCCGCTTCCTTACAGGGGATCAAGCTGTCAGTGGCAGGATTATAGTTGAAGTATGGCTTCAAATAAACCTGTGATTTAAAAGGTAAAGACAGCAAAATTACACTTTGAACAAACAACAGAAGCTGATAAATTCCCAGATTCAGCAGAGTGAAAGTTGCTTCTGCAGACGTCCTGTAGAAAAAAAAAAAAGTTGTGTTGTTTCATCAGCTAAAACGACCTAATCAGGTTCTGCCCACCATATCATGTCAGCTCTGATAACATTCTGACAATGTTTAAAGTGAAGGCAAAAACTGAAGCACACGCTGAACAGACATGTTCGGGCTGCTGTTTAATACACCGTATTATTTTACATTATTTGTGTTTAGCGTACATCTTAGATCCTTATATACGTTTTATTTTTATTGATATCTTTGGGTGTAATTGGGACCTTGAAAACACAATTTTGTTCCACCTCATGTACCACATGTGATGCGAATGACAAAAAACCTTAAAGTTTTTTTTTAAGGAAATTGCCAAAATCCACAATACCTTTAGGAACATGAACAAAGCTTTTTATGCACCAAGTGTAATGTTTAGGTCATATCATGCAAAGTTAATAATTTATAACAATTTGAAGTTTTATGATGTTATTAGTACCTTTAAAAAATATCCAAAATGTGATTAAAGAACATATCGAAAAATCCCTATTCCTTAAAAGAATATGATTTTTGTTCTAACTATCATGTTAGCTACTATCTGGCTTGTTAAAAATAGTTTACACATTTACTTTATCTTCAAAACAATTATTTAAAAGCAGATTAGACATCATATTAACAATATCATTTGTAGTTACGAGCACCTGAAGAAATGACGCAACTGTCAAAAGACAGAGCGATCATTTGGTTCCTGTTGGCCCTGAGGTCCGTTTCTGACGTAACCTTACACATCGCCCTGTAGCGTCAGCTGCTGCGTGTGGCTGACGAGAACGCTGTCCCAGTTAGTGTGTGGACTGCTATGAATAGGTCCTTGTGGACTCAGTTTTCAAAAGCATGGCAATTCGTGAACAAGTCAACCTCCTCTCGTCCAACCATCGACAGTCTGTGATTGCAGAAGTTGGTATAATCAAGAAGCACGTTATGTGGCTGGCACATAAGAGGAAGTAAATTTGACCTTTTTAAAAGTCTCCTTGTTTATTTTTGTTGTGATTGGTGATGAATAATTACAACTAGACCAAATATAGCAGCTCCCCGGGATGATTAATTTAATAAAAGTGAGACGTTCCACAGGAAGACAAATGAAACCTCCCCATCCTCTCACCTGAGGGAGTACCGCCGTGTCCTTGTAGCTCGGCAGGACTTTCAGCGTGACACTCCCGCTGCAGTCCTTCAGCAGCTCCTGCAGTTCACGGGGGTTGCTGCCCACCTCGCGACCGTTGACCTCGCAGATTATATCCCCCGAGTGCAGCATGCCCTGTCTGTCGATGGAGCTGCCGTGCAGAATCCGTGCGATCACCATGTCTCCCTGCACCACGCGGAACGTCACTCCCTGAAAGAGAGTACGAGTCGGTCGGTATCCCACGTTCGCAGATCGTAAATCGGGAGGCCCGTTTTACGGCTTGGAATGCTGCGTCGCTGTGAAGGACCGCTCCAAATATAAGTTGGAATACAAAACTGAGCCACTGCTTCCTAACAGACAGCCTACATTACATAAAAACTTGACATTTTTATACGACAAACGCTCGAGTAACTTACCAGAGGCTCTCCAGCTTTCTTCTGGATGCCAATCATCCTGACTGCATCAGCTGGCATGAGCGAACTTGGCAAAAGAAGGTTGCCGTTATCCGTAGCGTGGGGCATCTCGTACGACTTTGCAGCCACCGTGTCATGAGCCTCTATTAAAGACTGAGACAGAACAAGAGACAAGGAGACTCGCTAAGATTTGTCTCGGTCCTCTTTGATTGATGGCTATGAAAAACTATTGCTGCATCCGTGCGGTTTAAATCTACCAAAATCCTAAACAATAGCCAGAACTGCAGCGTGCATTTCATGAAACGATCATTAAAGAAAGTAGAAAAATCTCTTTGCTGAGCACTTTTTGTTCTTGACATTGTGACTAACAAAGTAAAGATAAATCAGTTTGGTTTATATCCAAACAACTTTACATCAGCATCCTTTAAAGCAGCCTATTTAAATGTTTTTCTTTTATAACCAAATAGAAAAAGCACTAAAAACACCACACACAAAAAAAGAAGACAAATTTTCAGAGTAAAACTGGCCCAAGTACTGACCTATAATTCTTAAGCACCTCTCATTTAATCTTTTAAAATTATAATCAAAAAGCAATTACAAATTTAAAAAAAAAAACCTTAAAGTGAGGCTCCTGGAGGATTCTGACGAGCTCAGCGGCAGCAGGATCTTTATCCGGCAGCTCGTTGAGGGAATCCAAGATCTCTGTGACCAGCTGAATGTTGTCGTCCCGTACAGCTTCTAACTTCACCTCCTCAAGACGCTCGTGGGCCTAAAACAAAAACAGGAACAATCATGGAAGTGTAAAACGGGATGAGAATGGGTTAAGGTAACAAACAATGATTTGGCTCCAAAAATTCATTGACTAAACGTTTAGCCAGTTTTATGGATAAAATCAAACTCAAAATTCTCACGTACACTTCAAACAAAACGTTTGCTTTAACAGACCAACGAGACAGAGAGGCATCATCAGGAAAGGATTTCAAAATGTAAACAAAAATGTTATTTGGGGGAAAAACAAACAAACAAAAAGTTTAATTTTGACAAATAAAATATATGGACTCCTGGAAACGGCTTACCAATAGTGATAAATGTGACCGATTTAGTTTTAACGTGAAGAAATTGGACATTAGAATATACAGTATATTTAATCTGCCAATTATTTGGCATGTGTTTCTGTAACACAGACATATTTAGTGCCACTGGAAATAAGATACTGTAATTTTTTTCTCTCGTTATTTTTATGTCCTCGTTTGAAAATAACCAACATTTAAAGTGAAACCAAACCCAATCATTTTGTATCACTTGCTCCTCATTTTCTTTGTAACAAAACTTGCTCAGCAATGAACGTGAATAGTTAAATTTATTACTTGGATGATGAATACTAAAACACCACCACAAAAGACAGGAGGGTTTCAGTTTAGCTCTTCTATAGTAAACATATGAAATGTTGGCCCTTCTACACAAAACAGGAAAAATTTGTGATCTGTCTGTTTGGAGATGAGGATAAAAGTTCGTATTTGTGACAGATTAGCCAGTGGTTCCCAATCCTGGTCCTTGAAATAATAAAATCACAGTGTGTTGGAGCAGGGAGAAAACTAAAACATGCAGGATGGTGTTCCTCAGGGTTGGGAATGGGAAACACTGGCCTAAACAACTGCCGTACAAGTTACATCGCCGAATAAGTCGCATCTATTTTGCGTCACCACTGACAACCTGGAAACGTGGGCTGGTGTTGTGCCAAAAATCGAGTGGCTGCCAAATGGCGGCCGTGGGAGCGTGCATGGGAGGACTTTAACAAGAATTTAACAAGATTAACACTTAAAAACAATTATTTGTTTGCTCAAAATTATAGCAAAGGTGTGTCTCAGTTGAACTTTTCCTTAATAAATGCACTTTAATGGTCAAATCAGCTGCATTTCACCTGGACGGCACGGCAAAATGCAGCTGATTTGACATTTGCTCCAGGAGTTCTGGAGCGAGACGAAGGTGGCTACGTATGGCAAGCCAAGTGTCTCATTAATAGCCACTTTTACCTATGCCATATAAGTTGCAGGGCATACAAATTTCTGCAAAAAGGTGCGACTTATATGACAAAAAGTACGGAAATAGTATTGATTAATAAACCTGATGACTTCATTCTGCACTTTTTTCCAGATAATGTTACATAACCATATTTTCGTGGGGTTGTCAGCCTCTTTGTAAAGTGTTCTTCCCCTCAAGCAGAGTTAAGAGGAGCTGCATTAGTAACCCCACATTTTCAGAGTGGTATCTGTGAGTGTGGGCCCCACCTTGGCCAGGGAACGGACGATGGGGCTCTCCATGACGCCTTTAAGGAAAATTAGGTCAATTTCTTTAGCTCCAGTGCCCGATGGCAGGTCTTTAAGGTTGTCTAGTATCTGCTGCATGGCTGAAAAATAAAAAAACACATCTTAGACATTTGGCTGACTAAGCTTTAACTTTTAAACTTCAAATATGCTGATTAGCAAACGCAGGCACAAACATCTGTGAAAACTAAACTGAGGTCACCCTTTATGTTAATTAATATAATTAAGATTTGTAGCCCGTTTAAACATTTAGGGGAAACCAACTTCCACTGTAGTAAAAATCCTCCCATCATCACTGAATTATTCAACCATTTGACATAGAACATCCATCAACAAGCATGAAAGTGCACTCACAACAAGGTCAGTCCTAAAAAAGGTGAAAAGTACACAACAAGACGACAAAGATATTCAACAATTGGCAGCTTTTGCAGCAACACAGCAAGTTATTTGAGTAATTAGACAAAATTGTGTATGTTAGAACCTCCAAGTAGTAATTACTGCACTAAAGCAGACACTTTTTAATGACATATTTGTCACAGAATTATTTTTTTTCCTTTCAAACAATGTAAAGCTGATGTTACAGTCAAGACAAATAGGGTTCAAAACAGCTGTTTGCTTTGCAAGAGCATCATCAAGCTGTTGTCACTCTAATGTGAGATTATTTTTACAACTGTGTACGTTAACAGGCAGCAAACAGACTCACACAGCCTTCTAAGCAGGCATCAAAAAATTACCCACATGTCACAGCTGACGATAATACACAATTTAAAAGCGTAAAATAAAAAGACGGCTTGGGATTTTGCCTTTGGGAGCTTACCTGAGCCAGACTTTGCATTTGCCACAGTCATGTTTATTAGTCCTCAGCTCAAGGTGGTGAAACTCTAAAAACACGGTGAAAAGCCGCCCGACTGACTCGTTTACCGAAACCAGAGCAGCTGGAGAGCTGGAGGACGCAGGAAACCCACTCAAGTGAGCAAAGTGTTCACCGCCATCCCCATGCAAGCATTTCCCCACAAGGTGTGGGTGCAGACAATGACACAGAAGAAGAGGAAAGAATAGGAGAAACAAACAAAAAATGGGCTTTTCTGGCCAGTTTATGTGTCGTTTTTCCAACAAGAACACTTGTGAACTACGAGGAATAACAGAGAGGTTGACGTCCCATCAGTCTGGTTAAAGGTTGTACCAGCCACACGCAACAAAAGCGTACTGTACAAACATGCTCTCCAAACAGGCAAAAACTGATTCACCATGGCTGCAGTAAGAAACCGAGCAAAAACAAGTGCTCTATTTAACCAGCAACTGAGCTGTACGGGCCTCACGAATATTATTCTGAACCAAAACTGTTAAACTATAATAACAATATAAAGACTGAGAACTTACCTACAGACTGTGTTTAAATCATCAGAGCAGTAGAACACCACTGAGCCCCATGTTCTCTACAATTTAAGAGCCTTAAAATAAAAACACAGAAAAGAAAGAAAAAAATCCAGTTAGACGTAATATTTGTTGAAAATGTACTATAATGTTTGAAAACCCATCTCAACCCAGTTCTCATGAACAAAAACAAAATCACGTTGATAACTCTGTCCTGAAATAGATTTCATTTTAAATACTTCGTGTTCTTTCTGTAACTTAGACAAGTCATCCTGGTCGCCAAAGACAACCACATAAAACTGATCAGAACCACCGCTGTACAATTTTAAATAGGACGTAAGAGAGATCGCTTTAGGTCAAAATCGAATGTACTGAAATATTACTTAGTGCAACGAGTTCCTTTTAAACCGAGTCATTTTTACATTAAAATGTAGAAAACAAGCTTCCTTTGTGAACCCTTTTTGGAAAATGGTGTTGTAAGATTCAACGATTTAAAAAATATTTTAAATTAAAGCCAACATTTCATTACCTAGAATACCAAAATTCATTTTGTTTTCTTAAAAAAAAAAAAAAAAAAAATACAAACATTAAGCATTAAACATTAATAAGTTTTATTATTCTTCAATAGCACACTGCTGAAAGTGGAAGGCAGATGATGTCTTGTCAAAATATCTCACGAACCACCGATTTTACTTCCAAGTAAATAATCATAACGTGTACATTTTTAAATACATTTCATTAAATCAAGGTGGCTGCCACCTCTAATTTACTTATTAAACATAAAAATATCTATACAGTAGTCCCTCGCTACTTCACGGTTAGACTCTCACAAACTCGCTCTTGTGCGGTTTTTCAGTGATTGTCAACTTTAATATTACTCACGTGATTGGGACGGTACGGGATAAAAAGTTAACGAAAAGAGAGAAAAAAAAAACCTTTGTACAAGAGCCGCCATTTTCTAGTTTCCTTTCAAGAAGCCTATGCTGTGTTCCCCAGTCAAAAGAACTGCATTACCCAGAAGCCAACAGTGCTTCCGGCTGCTGCCGTTTGCCGAAATGGAGGCAAAGTTTTCTACGTAAATCCATGTCATCTATTAAGCTCACAGACCTGGCTGGAAAGTTGTAAACAATCCTGAAGCTGAACTCATCCTTCAAGTTGTATCTTCACTGGTGAGTACCTGGCTGCAGTTGATCAGTGTGACCCGGATCGTGGGGGCTTCAGGGAACAGACGGTGGCGGGGTTCGGCCTTGTTCTGGTCGCACGGTGCTGGTCTGGAATGTGCCGATGTGGTGGAAAAATCCTGGGAAGCCTTACGCGCTGAGTGTCCTTCCTGGAGCTGCAGCACGTGCACATTCACCTGGACGGGGCGGAGGGCTTAGTCATGTTTCAGGCTAGTCGAACAGAACCGAGTCCCACCAGAACCGAGCTTCTGCAGAACTGGTGAGTCCCAATATAAAATTTTGCAGTACTGTACAGTACATATTAGTTGTGTAACGGTACATGTGGGTGTATTGAACCGTTTCAGTACGTCATGTTCGGTTCGGTCCACGTGCGTACCGTTTCGGTTATTTTTTTCGCTCAATAAATTTTATTAACGAGAGATTATGCGCCGCGGAACTAAAGTTCCTAAGCGTGTTTCAGCACGGCACCATTATCTTGCAGCACGCGCAGCGTTAGCAGGCTACGAACAAGCCATTTCGTTGCGGCCTCCTGTTTGGGAACATTATGGCTTTCTTGTTAAAAGACAAGTGAACAAATCCAAAGCCGTGTGTCGACGTTGTTTCACGGAGAGTGGATCTGCAACACGTCTAACCTGTTAACGCGCTTGAAACGACATAATTCGAATGTGAACGTAGTTTGGTGCAAAGACCGATAACAGCAGCATTTAAACAACCTTTATCGGGTAATTCAGATCGGTCCAAAGAAATAACACAAGCTGTAGGAGTTTTTAAAGCTCTGGATCTATGTCTGAATGTTGTTGATGCGCCGGTTTAAAGCATGATTAAAGTTCTTGAGCCCCGCTGCCTACAACATCCCATCACGTCAACACTTCAGCCAAAAAGTTGTAGCAGCACTTTACGATAAAGCTAAAACTTATTTAAAGCCCTGCCACATCGATGATGAACGAGAGAGGATATTCAACCACCTCATATGATGACCGTGCAAGAGGAGCTATTGTTATTATATTATAGTGATCTAATTAACTTTTTTATTTAAAATTATAATCTTATTAACTCAATTTTTTTTTATCTCCGTGTTGTTTGCAGTGTGCAGTCTGAGGATGATAGCAGATGAGTCTTCTTCATCCACCAGATCCCCTCCAGCTCAGAAGTCTGTAATGACTGAACTCGTTTACTTGGGATATTTTCAAAACAAACATTATTTAAGTCTTTATTTTGGCCTTTTTTGTAACGAAAATTAACCGAACCGAGCCCTCCTTGAAACTGAACCGAACCGAAATGTGATTTTAGCGTATCGTTACACCCCTAGTACATATACTATGTTGTTAAAATTATGTAGGTTTAAGAGTTTAGAACATTGCAAGAGTGTGGGAAAATCTTACAAAGCCTTAATATATATATAAATACTAAAATAAATATAGCATTCCTACGTCGCGATTTTTCCACCTATCCACCTGGGACGTAACCCCGTGACAATCGAGGGATTACTGTAACTCCAATAATGAGCCCAAACTTGGTGTGGTAATAGCTGAGAGTCACCGACAACACAAACTGAGGTCTCAGTCCAAAGCTCTGGCATGAAAGGCAGCGGGTGACATGCATTTCTTTAAGATAAGATCAAGATGGGGTGGAGGCAGGGCAGCCGACTCAGGACCTGAAAGTCCCAGGTTCGATCCCCAGATTCACACATGTCATGGTGTCTGAGCAAGACGCCTAATCCCTAATTGCTCCCTGGGGGCTTACATAGCTGCCCACTGCTCCACCTGGGTGTGTCCCGATTCCCAGATGTGATGGAAATGGGATCATTCTTACTTTGAAATTTAAAAAAAAAAAGGGACCAATTCATACTTTCACCCATGGCAAAAAGAGTCCTGGAAACGTTCTCTTCCTAAACACATGTACATACACTAAAATATAGTAAATGACATCTATTTTATCATAAGTGTATTTTCTTTTCAAGTTGGAGCTAACCAATTTACCAACCTCAGAGACATGACATGCAGTAAAAGTTCCTGACTTGTTTTTTTTTCTTCCATTTCCTGTTCCTCTGCTGAAAACCAGTACACACATACTGAAGCAACTACTCATCAAAACTACACGAAAGTACTTTATGTCTCATTAGAAGCAAAGTATTTTTAAAAACACCATAAACTGCCATGTCCATTAATAAATCAACACTTGTTGCACGACTCCAAAACAACGTGTTATATAAAAGTCTGTAGTTTTTACCTGTCCGTCCTCTGGAAGTGGTTTTAATTTGTAAGAACACGGTCAGACGAAGTTTCAACAGTTGTTGCCTCGCGACGCTAAAAGAAGGCTGCTGTCAAGCTACACGCGCACAGCGCACGTGTTAGCACCGTAGCCGTCCGTGGCTCTTCGTTTGCGGCGAACGCCCGTTTCAGCGTCGAGCTCAGCCGACGCGAGTCACTTCAAACCTATTTTACTGAAACCGAGTGATGTCAAACCTTCTCCGGCCTTATTTCCACCCGGAGTGTGTCCCGCGTCGGTTTGTAGCCCCACATGCAGGCGAGTTAGCAATGCTAATAACGAGCCAGAGGTAGCGGCTACTGCCACGCGCTTTAAATACATATTTAATTTCCACCCCTGCATTTTAAACTCGTACCTTAAGCCTGTTGAAAGCAGCTGGCCTGGAGGGTTAATGTCCTAAAGGCAGCAGGACTCGCAGTCGCGAGTTAAACTTGTCTTAACTGCTAATATTAAGCTAGCTAGCTAGTAGCCAGCTGACATTACTTCAGTGTAGGAGTGAAAATCAAGACGCTCCCCCTGAGAGCGTCACTTCATATGTGATCAAGTGGATGGTAAGTTACCTTGTCTCTTGTGATCAGTGTCCAGTCATGCCTCCATGTTTCTCTTTGTTTCAGACGTTTATAACTTGCGCAGCAGTAACTTGTGGGCGCGTTTGCAGACTGCCTCCTCCTCTCCTCCCAGCTGCCTGTGTGCACGCAGCCAGGGGGCAAACATCATTCAGTGACTCCACACACACACACACACACACACACACACACACACACACACACACAC